TGAACAACTTACACCCAACAATACCGAATTTACGTGGCACTACCCTAATATAACATCAATGCATTCGGCGAATTTTATCAAACTGTCTACATGCATTTGTCGCAAACAAGCTTATTCCTTTTCACGTGACTATTTGTATTATTTTTTTTTTATTTTATATTTCGGTTGAATTGTAAAACCGTTTGAAATATTTTTGTCTGATTTGTTTATGGGATGATACGAAGTCTATATTTCATTTTGGTCCCGAATTATTTCTAATTCAGTGGATGAAAATTAACATTTTGAAATTGTGATATCTTGGGAATATATGGTATTTTTGAGTCATATTTGATGAGCATATACTTGTGAACAAGTTCGTTTTATTTTTTGTTTGTATTCATCCAATTTTTCATTAATTTTTTAACTACAGTTTTCAGGTCTCGATATTTTATTACCAGTATTACAATGTGAATAAAAATGTCTGGATTTTTCTATTTGTTTTTCATGTTATTTAGTTTGGACTGTAAGTCTAAAACCGATTGACATATCTATGGCGAATTGATTGTGGTGGTGTTGTGGTGATATGTATTTTGAATTAAATGTTTGTTAATTTTCAATTTGTTTAGAGCAATATATGATATGCAATGTATGACGACAGATCGACTCAACACTAATAAAAAAAATCTTCTGAACAAACGTTAGAGTGCAGTTTGTAACTAATATTTCTTAAATGACCGAAATTTGTCCAAAATTATTTTTAGGGTTTAAAGAAGTTATGTTAAACTTTTTTTTTTTAAATCAGAAAATTAGGTGTCTTCAAAAACACACCAGAACTTTAGATTTAAATTCCTTTATATTTGGTGTAAATATGTTTTTCAAGTCGCCCTTTTGCATGACACCGTTCCCTAGCAACGATGACCACGCTTATGGCAACCATGCCTAAAAACGCATTTCACAATATGATTCTATATGTGTGTTCTATATAATTATATTATCTACATAGTGTTCTATATTCTTATAAATATACGTCGAGAATGGTAAGTTTGCCACGTCACCTCATTAGTACACATACATTTTTTACAGCATAAGTTTTTACGGCATAAAATTATCATTTATCAAAGAAGTGAGGTGGACGTGTTCCTAACAACAACACCAGCAAACATGGCAACCAGCAAACAAAAACAAAAACACAGAATGTTTTTCTAAAAAGAAACATTAACTTCCACTATAGTGAGTAAAAAAATAGTTTTGAAACTATATACACCCAATAGCAACCAGTTCAAAGTGATATATAGTTATAAGTTCTTGCCCAATATAGTTCGAACTTATACATTCTATTGCGTAAATTGTCTTGATGGGTATGTCCGTAAAAACTATTGATTTATTCGTATCAACATGGATGCAATAGCCTTGTCCAATCGATAATTTCTGCTTGTAGCAATGTATTTCATCGACGAAGATAACAAATATTTTCCAAATAATGTCCCTAAGGTATAATAAGTTCAGAATTAGTCAGACTCCTAAAATATTTTTGTTTTTGTTCTTATTCGTTCATACTTACTTTTGACATTTCTGAGTTAAAATTTACCCACATGGTAAATGAATGTGCAAATTAACCATTTTCCCATCTTGTGTGTTATATAGTTGGTCGAAAAAATCTAGATTGTCTTGGATTTTTGATAGTGTATATTATTATAAGTAACAATGTATCAAACAGAGTGTTAGCAACGTAACAAGGTCTAATCAAGGTACTAATACTTCTAACTTGTGCTTCCAATATTTGTTTTTCTGTTATTTAAACCATGTTATAATGTATTTTAATGTGTACCACTTGTGGCAGAAAATTCAAGAAGCTCGTCCAAATGTAATAAAACTACTATTTCAGGAATCTTTGTTATCTCAGTCTAGACTAGGATTATGGGAAAAGTGTATGCTGAATATCTGAAGTGTGCATACCATTGCTATTGTGATACCGTGGTGCCGCGGACAATTCAATATAGGCGCAAAAACTTGTCATATACATGTATTTCTCTAGGCACTATGATATTTCGTAAAATGATACTATAATATTAACACGCCGTAATCCACAATGCTCCTTCATCCAGCATGAACATAATGTACTAAACTTGCGTCCCATATTTGACTTAGATACGTCCGCCGCACATTGTAACATGTTGATTGTTTCGGTTTTGATATTAATCCAGCACATATCACCAATGAACACACCATCATCAAATCCAGTATATGTACTCTATTAAAAGAACTTGATAATCAAAAGTAATATTTAGTAAATTCAATAAATGAGATTAGCTTAATGACTCCTTTAACATCCTAGTTGACTTTTGTACCTTTATTTTACATTTCAGAAGAACAATCAAAAACATTGTCACCCAAATACAGTTAATCTTCGTTTTACAACCATCACAAGGTACACACAAGGTACTGATTGACGGTAGATATAGTACGTGGTTATCCGTGAATACTGTAGTTGTGTGAACCAGAGCCCATCAGTCCTAGCTTCAGTGGCGAACTTGGGACTCTCACATTAATCACGGTCTCGTTTCTAAACTTCTGATCATTTCAACAGGACTGCAATTCCATAATTTTGAGCGGTTTGACATAAATCCAATTTTATATGCCACACATCCATACTTTAGGCAATATATATTGTTCAAGCAATAACTCCTTTCCACATCCAGAAACCGGTATACCTCGAGTAAATGCACAATTTACGACCTATAGACCTATATATTTATTTTCAGTTAAATCAAGATAAGCCCTACTCTGTTTCCTTCAAAGCATAACACTCACCCATATTTCTCGGAATGGCATCGTCCATTGCTTTCACCAGGTGAAGAAATTTAGACATGGTAAAATGTTCATAATATATTCATTAGGTAATGCGCAATATTGTTTTGCATTGCAAGAAAACAATATATTCTGTTTCAACACCACCTAATCGTAGCTATATACTATATCAGCATCCGCAAAAATGGAAAAGGCTATTTTACGGACGGATTTTCTTTATTGACACAAATTTATAGATTATTTATTTATAACCATTAAATCGTATCTGACGAACGAATATGCGGATGCTATGTGACGCCAGTTTTTATGTGTAGTATATTGTACATGCGGTTATAAAATAACATATAACAAAAGTGTCATTTCAGTGATTCTTTAGCAATGTTTTGAACTTATCATTGATCATTATGAGATTCGTGAAGAATTAACTATGCTCAGTCATGAAGAGTTGTTACATATAGCACATTAAATAAATATATATATTTTCATATACTTTAACATACATGAATATAGTTAATATGCCACATAAGTCACATATATTTATTATGCATAATGCAGGATTGGGAATATCGAAAGAATACACCATTGTGGCACCAGTATACAATTACACAAGAATGCAAACATATTGACCAAGTTGTGTGGTTATCTGAATCAATCAATAAATAATTACATTAATTGGAATTAATTGTAGCAACTAGAGCTTACTTAAAATATTAAGTGGGCGATGTTTAAATAATTTAGCTAACATCAAAATATATGAACTCCTAGTAGACTGACATTTAGTTCGGTCCATCTGGAAATGTTAATAACAGATTAGCGTTGTTATAACAACCAGTGTTGTATAGCATTTCCGATAAAATCGCAAATTATAACACCTTTTACCTAAGGCATTGCTAAATGGTATCTTAGACAAGATGGGTAGAACTTATTCTGTGTGTATTGTGATCATTAATTCCCCCAAGGCAAATGTTGAATTAATTATATACCAGTATGATCATTGTCGTTTTTGAGGATGCGACTGTATAACATTGATGCGCACACCAAATGATGCTAAATTTCGAACACTGATTATCCTGTTATTGAAGCCACAGATTAGTTTCGCATCTCTACTGTCTTTGATGATGTTACATTTCTTGGAAACTATTACAATTACCATTGGTAAAAGATCATATTGAACATGTGTTGAAATTTGGTGTAATATATTACGTTGAACAGTAAATGAATTTCTGTGAGATGTATATATTTGCTGGATAGAACAACATTATAGTTAGCGTTTAACTGTACATGAGTGATTTAACTATGTTGAAACGGTTAATTTCATCTTCGCTTGTGAGTTTAATTTCATTCAAACAACAACACACAAACAATTTCTGCCATTACGGAACTGTATCTCGGTCTTGCCTGGGTATATTTCAATCAAACTTGGTATTTCCATAAAACATATTGGGTTCTTGATGCACGTCATGTTTTCTTTGTCTTGATGCGAATCTTGTCTGTCACGTAATTGATTGACAATAATACCCCAGAATTGCTGTGACAGTTGGCTATTCAAAGATGTATATAACAATATTATTTCTAGCATAGCGAGCTCAATGAATTTTCTACAATGCACAGTGAGAAAAATACTGAGGAGCTGTGGAGCATATTTGATATTCATGAAGTCCGTGAATAACAAAAATGTGTACTGCGACGTTTGCATAAAATCATGGAAAGTTGTTACTTATCCCGTAATTCAATATATGAACTCAAGCCAATATTTCGAACATTACACATGTATGTTGTTTGTAATTAATAATAAAGATGGCCGATATCAAACCATTTCCGGTAATCATCAGCGTATGTTAAAAATTACAGCATATTCACCGTTATTCAATAGTCTGATTTATGACACCCTATGCAGCTGCAATATTTTCATATGAATTATTT